AGAAATGGCGAAAGAACCGCCTAAAAGAAGGGAGCCAACGTTAACAAAGGTAAGTTTGTTTTAAATATTGATTTTATAATTGCTTTAAAACCCGACGGCCTTTGCGTATGTGAAACAACTAAACAAGACAGCATATCGGGCCCCATTTCAGTGTATCTTTAATTCTGATTCCCTTTTTTATTATATTGAATTTTTTTAAATAAAAAAGAAAGCAAAGTTATTTGCATGCTAGAATTTGAAATCATTTTATTGCAAACTCAAAGTTTATCGATAAAGCCATTTAATTAAAGAATAAAGGCAGTTTAGTTTTATAAAGAACACTTTAAAACGTTTTGTGAAGCGTTTGTGGTTGAATTTTACCTTAAATTGAAGCTTATATTACGTATAATATCATACCTAACATATATATGGTGGGAAATTGACAATTTTGTAATTAAAAGTGATATTTTTAAGCGATTTTTCATTTGTAAGATTGTTCTTAAAAATTATCGTGTTACCATGGCAACTACTTTAGATACTTCATGTTCGGAAAATACAATGGTTTTGTCAGCAAGGCGAGGGTTTCTGCATGCATGTATTTTCTAGTATAATTATATTAATTGCTGCCGAGCGTAGCTCGGCAGCACACTAATCTCTACACGTGGTGTGCTTACCACGTGACCGCCGAGTTTATAGCCGCTACAATCTCGATTTATGTCATTCTGTCATCCACGGACGGGCCAAAACTAGCTGTTTTGATATTATTTTTTTGTTCCCGGGGGGGTTTGTTCACAACATGGCGACTGTTATAAACGGACAGAAATATAAAAATCATAAAATAATGCGAATTTCCATAAAAATTCCGAGTAATATTTGTGAAGATGAATGGGTAAATAAAGCACGGTGTTATTTTGTGTCTCTGGCGCAAGAATGATCGACAATATTTTGAATAATTCAGGTAAGGATGGCTTTATTTCGTTCTCGTATAGTGATGTAGTCGTGCCGTGTGCCCTGTCTACCTGTCTGGTGATATATTTTATAATACATGAAGGCATTTATATTTAAATCTGCTGTTTATACTTGTTTAGTCACTTTAGTGTATTAAACTTCGATATAAAGGCATTGAAACAAAATGATTTCAAGAATATATCGGCAATTATAATACCCACTGAATCACTGATCTATTCCCGACCAAATCGACAGTAATGATTAATGCCTTTATGCTGATACAAGAAGCAAATGAACTTTTAGTTTATTTGTTTGTTATGTCACTTAATATGTGCAAAGCCAAAGGCGGTGGGTATATAATAGTGTTCGGTACGTTCTATTTCTAAATGTTTATAGTTTAAAAACAAACGCGGGATGTTGTTAAATCAGGCTTAACAAGATTCCTAGAGCTACCCAGTGTGGATTGTTGTCTGCATATATGGACTTATCAGCAATTACATGTAATATAGCATATCAACTGACTTTTGTATAAGATATGACTTGTATAAGGCCTCAGTTATATATAAAGCCTATAAACATGATTCTACTGACATACATTGATATATACATATGGCTGTGTTACCACAATAATGCTCACAACTTCAACTTCTTTCTAACAATATAGTTTTGCAGTTCTGACTGTTCTGAGTATGATCTTATTCATTCAGAAATATAAGCATTGCACTGTATTCAATGGCAAGCTATCCTGGATTCCAGAGCCTTCAGTTAATAATAAATTGAAATATCGTGAAGGCTCTGGTTCAACGGGAGGATTCTTTGATTAAACTGTGCCAATCACAAAACAGAATTAGCAGTTTTAGTACAGATTTTGGGCGTGTTAACCCATTAAGCGCCAGCGCTCTCCCCTTGACGAGTAAAATCGTCTGGCGTTAGACAGAGTAAAATACTCTGGCGTTAGACAGAGTAAAATACTAAAGTAGGGTGCATCAGGGTGCAATGCGACCCAATGGGTTAACTAGACACATGGGTAGATAGATCAGTTAACCCATTAAGCGCCACCACTCTCCCCTTGACAAGTAAAATCGTTTGGCGTTAGACAGAGTAAAATACTGTTCAAAGTAGGGTGCATCCGGGTGCAATGCGACCCAATGGGTTAACTAGACACATGGGCAGATAGATCAATTAACCCATTAAGCGCCAGCACTCTCCCCTTGACAAGTAAAATCGTCTGGCGTTAGACAGAGTAAAATACTGTTCAAAGTAGGGTGCATCAGGGTGCAATGCGACTCAATGGGTTAATATAGTACATAACATAGGTCATAGACATACAGTTTCAATACAATACAAAATGATTTTGAACAACGTCAAGGTCAATGAAATCATACAAAATGAATTTATGGAATATCAATTAAATGTATTTAAAACAAACATAATTTCAACATCCCAATAAGCAATAACATCCCAGTAAGTATAAATTCAACTATTTTAAATCAATTGTTTGAATAGCCAAATTAAAAGTTGTACGAGTGACAAAATCATTCAATAATATTCACATTTTATCATTTGTATTATGTGTCAACTATCAAAGTAGCACTGTTAAGTATATTAAAATATACTTTTCATAAGATTAGATGTAAGATATAATTGTACGAAGGTAACTGAGGAACGACGATGTGTAAGACAATAAATCATACATACAGTGAAAAACGCTCTTTTTGTAGCACATCCTACATGTACATATCGGCAGCATTTTCCTTGCGATAGTAACTCCTAGTATCGATTTATACTTTGTCTTGTATGTTAAACGTTCACATTAAGTACTGTTTAAAATTAATAAACGAGTAGGAGTGTTTTATCACATATAAAACACGACGCGTAGCGGAGTGTTTTATATGTGATAAAACACGAACTACGAGTTTATTAAACAGCTTCAAAAACGTCTCAGTTAGATCACGGCATTGGCGAAATAATTTCCCAAAATAACTTTGTATTAGCTGAGAAAATACAAGTTGAAATTTGAAGCGTGTTTTATCACATATAAAGACACGCCACGCTTATGATTTCTCTTTGTGTTTTCCTCATGGATTATTAATGAGTTTTTGAAGTACTATTTAAAACACGAGTAGGAGTGTTTTATCAGATATAAAACACAAGTCGCAGCCAAGCGTTTTATGTCTGATAAACACTCCTACTTGTGTTTTAAATAGCTTAAAATACGACTACAAAAGAATACCAATTAGGACAAACAATTATATAAGAATACTAATTAGGATGAACAATTATATAATGCCACATGCATGCATGCATGTGTTTTATCAGATATAAAGTCACTCCATGTGACATAATATGGATGACATGATTTGCCACAAGGTTTATGAATTATTAATGAGTATTTTAAGTTTGAAACGTTCATTATGTTTCTAATACTTTTAAATTATACTGCTGAATGTATTCTGTGTCATTTCCCTATTACCTGACGTATAGAGTGCACCAGAAACCGAATACTTCAGAAATACAATTTCATCCTGGGGGTGGGGAATTTTGTCCAGGACTTTTGTCCCGAGGGAGTGGCATTTGACATTGTTTTCTGTAAAAATGTCAAATCCCCCCCCCATGCCCGACCCCCCCCCCCTCAGGGTTAACATTGACAGGTGCTGAGGTGCATAGCTATAATTTATGCAAGATGATTTTACTAGAAGAGGTTCTTGCACATTGATCAATGGGTTTTAAATGTACTTTTTGTACCAACCGTATAAGCATCTTTTCCATCAACTGTTTTCATATCTTTCAAAAGCCATGATGTTCTCTTTTTATAACTTTCTTTATCTGTTTTTTTCACTTTATATATTGTCACATGTACTGGTCTCTCATTTGAAACTACACAAGCAATGAGAAAATGCAAAAAAAGAAAGCAATACAAGTTTTTTGTGGAATTATAGGGCTGTCAGCCTATCTGCCGATTATAAAGTCATATATGATATGTGAATCATATTTGACTATTTGAGGATCGACAGAGGCGTTTCAACTTTCAAGGCCTTTCAACCCTGAATCATACAATTACTTACATAATTCATGTCTTTTGTGCAAGTGTTTAGTTTACCTACCTGCAACACAAAGAAAGCTTGGTTTTCTCTTCTTACCAGCTCTGCTAACATTTGTAAAAGCAAATAATTTTTCATCGCTTGGATCGAAGACTTCTTTTTGCAAACTGCTTCTCAAGGCCGCCATTGTTTTCCTCGTTCCCAGTCCCGCTGGTCCTCCGAGCTCTGGAGCCCTACATGTGGTATTATTGTGGTTTTTGTGGTGGTTTATGCGAAAAAGATTCGAAAATCAAATGGACTCAGAATTCAAGTAAGTATTTACTTTGAATTATTTTACATAATTTAATACTAAGTTTTTATCATACTTCCCCTGTATTAAATTACTCATCTGTTGCTTCGGTAGTTGCTTTCCTGTAATCCTGACAACCACTGCTGATTTCTGGTGACAAATGCTGACAACCATTGCTGATGACCATAGGTTTTCCCGCTCAAAATTGTAGGCGGAAGTGACAACGACTCAACGAGAAGTTTTGGCGGCTGTTTGGCCAAACTGAGTTTATAGAAGAGACGTGAAAGAATCAGTACTAGTTTATATACTTCAGTTTAAAGGAAATTATGTCAGCTGACAGCATTTTCAGGTACGTTGATTTTCAATAAAATGCTTTAAACTGATTTTATTGCGTATATGATATAAATTCTTTTTGTTAATTTTTAGCGAAGGAAATGAGGCATTTGCAGATGATGAATACAGTAAAGCTGTAAAGGTATTAAAGAGAGTCTAGATGGGGGGAGGCTGAAAATCAGTAAACGGTAAAAATTTTGGTATTTTATAAACGGTAAAAATTTTGGTATTTTAACGGTAAATCTTTGAAGTCTGCTGAAAAGTGTTCTGGAATGATAAACAGTATTTTTTTTTCCTCATGCTTCACGGTAAATTTTTAGTGTTTTCACAACTGACGGTAACCAAAATTGAGCAATATCCTGACTGGAAAGTTTGGAAATTGTGCGCCGGAGATTTAAAAAATTTAAAGGTGCCCTACAGTCCGATCTGCACATGTGCATAAAGGAGCCCACTTTTTATGATACAAACAGTTTAACTATGTTTTGGGTTCTTGCAAAGCTAATTAAGCCTGATTGTTAGTTTCTTGATCATTTATTATACTCTAGAAGGTTGAAAATATAAATAGTTGTCGAATAAAGCTCAATATTTTGGACACAAAAATGTAAACAAAGGCTTTGTTTATATACGGACTGTAGGGCACCTTTAACAGTAATACATAGAAAGCAACAAAATTGTGCGCCAGAGATATCCACCACGCGATACAAACTTTCCACACTGGAGCAATATCTTATATCAAGACATACCCCATCAACACCCTCAGGTAATTCAGTTACTATTTAATGTGCACACATTTATATTTGTCCAATATAAATACTAGGTTTATATATATCATACAGTACTGCCAAGAAATAACTTATCAAAAACCGCATCCAAGACGCTGGGAATCTTGCGTCCACTGTGCGTCCACGGGCGCCTGCGGGTGCGTCCGTCCTGCGGGCGCCGTGCGTCCACTCTGCGTCTGCGGGCGCTTGCGGGTGCGTCCTCTGTGCGGGCGCCATGCGTCCGCTTTGCGTCTGCGGGCGAGGACGCAGCTGAGAAAGAGTTCTATTTGTAGATTGTCGGAAATTATCGCGTTTTGCTTTTCATAAACAAACCGTTGGCGTCGGAAAATATTCATGTTAGCGATTTCACACCACGTTTTTATGCTTATACACAAGCGTTACAGACCTAGAATCCTAGATATTTATATTTCTAATATTAAACTTACCGTGAAATTTCAGAATTTGTGCTTCGTAAAGTTCCTTTTCGTATTTGATCTCTACTTTCGCACCTTCGTATAACTATAACGTTTGGTTTAAACCCAGTAATCTTTTAGCGTTGCCGGTTGGCAAAATGCACGTATGGTTTTATATCTTCGAAGAAACCCAAAATACGTTTTGGTTGAGAAGTAAGCGATCGATATCTCAGTTTATTAGTCTGCATGATAGTAATACGAATCGAGTGATATTAGTCTGAGCTCTTCACTTCAGCTTTAGCGAATTATACTGCAACTTTGAAAATCAAGCGATGAGTCACAGTCATTGAACCGTGTTGAAACACAAAGACTGTTTCCTGGACATATAAAGGTATGCCATTAAGGGATTAAGAGAAGTCATTTATCCAGAAATTATATGGTAATTATCAATTTATATGACATATCACCATGTGCATTTGGAAAAACAACACAAACTTGTTGCTGTAAATAAAATTATATAGTGGCTCGTAGTAATGGTATTTTATATGAAAAATCAAAAGCACTATATATATATTGTAAATGAGCATCTTCGTTTTAATATACTGACGAGTTACGGAGACATAACATTATTCAAATACAGAATTGCATATCAACTAATCGGCAATCTTCTACGAGGTAAGTCTGAATTTGAGTAGCAAATGAATGTGTTGCGAGATATATACTCGTTGTAGCCGTGATCTCACTGAGTTTAGTATATGTGGCTACATTATATTTATATATAGTTTATGTCTATTTTACGCTCCAATATACAGTCATATACGCTTCAATCGCCACTCAAGTACGTGTGATTGCATTGTGAAAGCACTACGCTTACTGTAGTATAACGTATAACATTATAAAATGGTTATACTAAGTGTAATGCTTAGGTTAAATGAAACTCGATTTCGGATTCAACTTTTTATTCTTTGCTTCTCCGATCAGTGACACTGATCTGTATTCTCACGACAAACTACGAGTATGATGCAAATATTAGTTCGTTTTTCCGATTATGTTACGACGACTGCGTCCGGACGCGGGCGCTTTGGAGGCAGGACGCGGGCAGTGCAGACGCAAGACGCGGGCGTCGTGGAGGCCAGACGCGGGCGCTCTGGAGGCAGGACGCGGGCAGAGTGGACGCAAGACGCGGGCGCTCTGGAGGCAGGACGCGGGCAGACGCGGGGACAAGTTATTTCTTGGCAGTACTGTATGTGTTAACAAGCTACTTTTGGCCAAGGGTGGGTACTAGCGAAGTAGTTGTAGTTCGCTACTGTAGCGAACTACAATTTTCGAGTAGCCAGTAGTTTTTGACTACTTTGTTAAAACAGTAGCTGTAATTATAGCGAACTACATTTTGCCTAAAAGTAGCCAAGTAGTTGAATACTTTTCAAACAGCAAATCGCTATTCACTACTTTTTAAAATTGTTAGCAACTTGATAGAATAACATGATATTGGGACAAAATCAATACTCAATAGTCAATTTGCACTCTTGAACACTGTAGTGCTTACAAAAATGTTGCTTTGTGTTTACTGTTGCTACTCGTAAGTCAATTTGTTATAGCTGGTTACATTTCAGCTGAGTTAGTAGATCTATGCTCCAAATACAGTAAAACTAGTAGCGAAATAGTTTGCTACATTTTTAAGCAGTACTTAGCTGTATTCAGTAGCGAACTACCTTTGTTCAAAAGTAGCAGTAGTTGTAGCTGACTACATATTTTTGAAGTAGCTGTAGTTATAGCGAACTACAAAAATGTTGTAGTCAACCCACCCTTGCTTTTGGCACCAACTACACTGGCACAGACAGTTCAAGATTATATCATGTGTGAAGATAAATTATTCATATTCATTGTGTACATTAAACACAGCAAACAGATGGATCAATTCTATGAAGAGGATCCTGTACGGTCTATCAAGAGGAACATCTGCATCGACCCTCTTGTTGGTCTTGATGCAGATTGATGGTCTGTCTTAATTAGGCCAGGCTGTAAAATAAATAGTTTCATTCTCTTCACCATCTGACTGTATTTTAAGAACCGAGTGATATTTAACAAATATAAAAATTTTCCGTGTTGATATACAGTTAGATCAACACAAGTGTAAATTGGGAAAACAAGAAATTGTGTGGAAACATGACGCCCGAAGGGTGGAGTGTTTTCACACAATTTCGAGTTTTCCCAATTTCCACGAGTGTTGATATAATTGTATATCAATACGGAAAAAATGTTTTATATTTGTTTTATAATATAGCACAAAGACACATAAAGAAAGAAATTTTCTGACGTTTCTGTGTTGACATTGAGTTATATCAACACGGCTCTTAGCCAATCAGCGTTCAGAATTTACAATTGCTATATTATAAAAATCTATATACTGCCCACCAAAATATATTTCAAGACAGTTTCATTTTAAACTGCCAACTTCAAACAAACAAGCAAAACACAGGGCTTGAAATAACGTTCCCAAAGTTCCCGATCATGACGATCGGCAGTCAAAACTTTTTCAGGTTTGAAACCCTGCTATTCCGCCGATCATAAGCAATTTCTTGCAAATCATTCATTGCTGATCGGCTGTTATTTCAAGCCCTGAAAACAACCTTAAACGAAATGTCCACATCCATATTCAAGTTGCCACACAAAATGTCAAATTGATGTTTTTATCTAAAGTAAAAGCTACACTGCTGGTTGTTTTATATGTTTTGTATATTAGTACTCTGACTGTTCAACAAAAATTTTGGATCCTTACAATTATTTCTCCTTGAGTTATAGAGTTTTGAATAATTTGAAAAATATTATTGCTGATGTCAGCATTATTTTAAAGGCTGTTAAAACTGTGTTTATATACCTAGGATTGATTCTACAATGCTTGGTATCTACAGTAGGTTAGGATATGACTTAATGGACCTTCAAAAATAATTATGGCCTTGCAAAGACAGAATAGAATAGAAACTTTATTTGAAGAGAGCAAGCAAAACTGGTTAGCAAAAGCTAATCTAACCCAGGGTACTAATTAGCACAGATGGATGCCAGGACATTGTTCTGCATAGTGTTATAGGAGCAAAGTAATACCATACACATGGATATGAAAAGAAAATAAACTTGACCAACAAATCTTCATACAAGCCTCCCAAGTCATGAAAATACCAGTTCAAATTCAAAGAGGATATTTTAGGTGCAGAAACAAACACAAGCAATTACTAGATATGTTTCCAGGCATACAATTCAAGTGCCTTTATATAATTGATTCTGGCAAAACAGGGCACTTCAGAAAAGTTTGGAAAAAAGAGTAAGACATTTAGTTAAACTGAGGATCTCAACAAAAACATCCACCGAGAACATAACTATACCAGAAATATCGATGAAATACACCCATGTCTTCATGGAAAGCAGTTTTCTCAATAGTAGCAGCGTGTAAGTTCCTGTGGTCACACCCTGGCAAGCCAGGACAACTCAAAGCTATTAAGAATATACCAGTGCCTACTATATAACGGAATAGAACATTGAAACTCCAGTCATTACTTGGAATGATAACATATCTCAACCGTTTTTCATTCAGAATATAACCCTTGGAAGCGCTACGTCACGCAATTTTCAATCCATCAAGACCTAGGGCCTAAAATAAAAGCCATATGGTTTCTAGTAGGCCCCTAGCCCACATTTGTTAATATTAAATAGCACTATATTATCTCATGTAATGTTTTGGGCAAACTTAAGTGAAAATGGGGATACACGGGGAGGATCACTGGGATGTGCTTTCCCCCCTAGCCCTGGCCAGAGGATGTGGCCCTGGCCAAAGAGTATTTTTCATGATAAAGCAACAAATATTAGAGACAAAATGAGATACAGTAATTTGAGTAATAACATGATGATAAGCAAACTGTGAACAACAATAATTATTACAATTCAAATACAGTAGCCAAGCAAGACTTTGTAGTAGTCAAGCAAGTTGATGGGCGGGCAGTAGTTGTAATGAAAGTCAGAAAAATCTCATTCCAAGTCAAGTAACGATAACCCGATCCGGGAGAGTCGCTAAAGTCTCTGAAGTTTAATGAGTAGGAATCTGGTGGCACGTCGTGGGTGGACCTGAACTGTTAAGAACCATTTGTTTATTATGATATGCATATTAGTTACTGTCGTTCCAATTGAAGTGTTGCTCAAATATTGATTCAATACATTACCTCGGGCTGACCAATTCATTTGATCAAGTTCCTCGAGATATTCATACACTTCCTGTGAAAGAGCCAATTCCAAGTATTTGATCATTTCTGGTCACTTCCTTTCTATTTACGATTGGTTAGTTGCACAAACAACAAAGGTGATTGGTGCATTCAAACTATTCAACAGGAAGTTTACAATTATACTAGGAAGTGTATGAATATCTCGAGGAACTTGATGAAATGAATTGGTCAGCCCGAGGTAATGTGTTGAATCAATATTTGAGCAACACTTCAATTGGAACGACAGTAATAGGAAAGAACCTTTTGTCTATAGAGAGGGGCATGTTATAGCATGCCTGTACTGCGTAATGTGTTAGGACTGGACACTAGTTGTCACAAACTTTTGTAAATTTCTTGTCCAATTTTATCATTTTGTCACAACGGACGCTTTATTCCATCTAAAAAGACGAAACTCATGAAAATAGTGTTTTGCAAAGTAAAACTAGTATCGTGTTCTGGCCAAAATCTCACGGAAATTTCTTGTTAGCATTTTGCCGGACTTGCTGCTCATGTGAAGTAAATTACCGGTTGGCCAAGCTCATATGAACATCCTGCAGCTCATATATGCTTGAACAGCCCCAATTTTACCCCGTGTTTACATGAGACATTTGAATTGAGGTGGCTGGTTTGTCAACATAAACCACTGGTCTCACCACTATAAATAGTTAACAATTATTGAATGAGGTTGAGCACGATATGAATAATTATCAAGCATTGATAATTCTTCATATTGTGCGAAAACCGAATTCAATAATTGTTTTATTATTTATTTAAAAAATTCCAAACAAACGGAAGACATTTGTATTTTATTTGTATTAAGAAAAAAACAATTCCTTAGTCCTTCGGCAGCCGCCGTCGTCGTCATATCAATGGCATCAGCGAGTCAATATGATTCTCGTCGTCATAGTAATATGGCACAAACGCGTCCAATTTTTTTTCATATTGACTCTTTGACGTCATTTTGCTAATATGAATGTGAAAAATCCATATTTGGTTAGCCATTGAGTTGACATGACAATTTCACAGTCGGCTGTTAGCCAATCAGAAACCAGGAATTGTTCAAATAAATAATAATATAATATAGCAACTTTCATGGTTATAACCCACAGAATCGTTCCCAGAGTCCTTTCAAGATCGAAATATGTCGAGAAAATCTTATTTACAACAATATATTCGCGCGAACAGAGCAATAACACTCAGCCCACTTTGGCGAGCGAACCCGGGTAATTGCGCGTTTATATGGAAAATTCCCCAGCCTGGTCACTAGAGATCTCGGGTCAGTCGAGGCGGGATCTCGCTTAGGCGAGCCAGCTCGGCCCCCATATAAACGCAAAATGAAGTGTAGTAGAAAATAGACCCATTGCATATGACGTCACAGCGCCGATGACGATGCATCTGGAGGACAAATTAGCAATCTATGCATAATATAACCTTTGTAAACAAACATTTTGTATTAAAATGGTTAATTTTTGCGCCGTATGTGGTTGTTGTACTCGAACAGATATTGTTAGGGAGCATCTGGAGGACACTCTAAGGATTTGTGACGTCAGTGCAATGGGTCTATAATAACTATGGTGGGATCTCGCCTAAACCGGGCCAGCTCGGGTACCCGGGGTGGCTCGCCCCATATAAACAGCCCCTTAAAGTTGTCTGCAGTGTCAACATTACCTCTTAATAGATGATTCCCCTTATTACGTTTTCGTAGCGCTTTGCATTGTGGTTATAGTGGTATCACTGATAAAGATAGCTATTGTTTTATTTAGAAATATACAGCTGCGATTGAACAAAATTCTCACAATCCAAAGTATTATTCCCAAAGAGCTAATGCTTTTATCAAGCTGGAAAAGTATGAAGGTACGTAACAAACTAGTGAATCATGTAAAAACAAAGACGTTTCAACTCACAGTAGTATATATATAGGCTTCATGACATTCGTAGATATTACAGCTGCATGAAATGAACACGAGTAGCGGACATTTTGAGGAATATTGCATGGGAGTGTGAACTTAGATTGCTAACATATTACCGCCCTTTTCTTGCTAATGGAAGTATTCCTAAAACATTCTACCAATTCATTTGTTCACACGAACCAATTCAAATGAGACGTTTGACCAATTATGTGCAACTTCGTGTATCAGCGAAATGTTGTAAAATGAGTAAAATATAGCCCTGTGAAGTTCGCAAATTTTGTATATATTTTCATTACGCGCTGGAAAAATGACCATTTTTGAGCCGAAAATGGTTATTTTTACCGCGCGTAATACAAATTATACAAAATTTGCGAACTTCACAGGGCTATATTGTCTTCATTTTGCAACCAAACTTGCAGTTTTACTCATTTTAAGATGCTCTTCCTAGCTGTGGTGTTGGATTTCGTTCTTCTTGCTTAGAGCAAAATGTAGTCTAGCTGGAATCACCCATTCTACCAAAACTAAATGTGATTGGTGCACTCTCAACAAGTTTATCAATTATGGGAAATAACAAAATTGAAATCTAGCATCTCTTGCAAATAGTTCGTACATCTATCAGAGAATTTCTGAGAAACCCAAACATTTTCAAATCTTAAGCACCCTTGAACTGAATAAACGGGTGTGGCACATTGAACTATAAATAAACTGGAAGGCTAACTCAGGGGAGAGGGGAATTGAAGCCAGTGCATTTTAGTTTTTCTGAGTTATGAGCAGAAATACTCAACACTGAACGTTGGGCTATATATCAAATTGAAGCTATTGAAAAACGCTATTTGGTATAGAAATTTCAAGACTTTAGCTAAAAGGGAAATATTGAAAAACTACAAACATAATTACCGATAATCTTGCCGTTTTGCAGTTGTTTTTGTATTTTTTAAATATTTTTCTTTTCGCTGAAGTCTTGAAATTTCCACAGCGAATAGCAATTTTCAATAGCTTCAATTTGATATATAGCCCGACGTTTGGGGTCAAGTATTTCTGCTCATAACTCAGAAAAACTATTTTGGCTTTATCAAATCATAGGCGTTCATCATAGCAGTTAGCCTTCCAGTTTATTTATAGTTCCATGGTGTGGCATGATAAAACACGTTCTTGGTATTTATTTGCTAAATGTATAACTACGTTCAAGGTGGGCTGTTAAAAATATCAACGAGGCTGAAGGGGCCATGCACCAAAAGGTTTTGTTAATATTACATCGAGTTTCAAAGTCAGATAGTTGATATTTTTAACAACCCAGTTCCTGCAGTTCTCTCAATATAGTAATCTGTAGGAGTGCGCATTTAATTGTTCCAAAATACTTTAAATTATTTTATATTTTTATAATATGTAGATGCTCTTGCCGACACTTCGTCAGCTTTACGTTTGGACACGAAGAGTGCGAAAGCCTTCCTTCGTAAGGGGTAAAACTTACTGTATATAATTTCGTTTACTTCGTGGCATGTGTGTTGCTTCTTTCAGATTTGTTTGTTTTATACTTGTGGATAGTTGTGGAAACAGTACAAGTTGTTAAGGGGCGGACCATTCTCTTTGCATTTTTGTTTTCCTTTGCGCGAATTTTTCTCTTCAAACCACACTCCCCCCCCCATAACCCGCCTCCTCCCCCATCACTTTTCTAACGGTCCGCCCTAAAACTCCTGTTTAAGCTTAGGGTTCGAACCAGCCTAACCCACCAAGATTGTTTGCCAGCTACTGACTAACACTAAAAAACAGCAAACCGAGCTTTTTTAATGTAATTGCACGTCATCATGTGATTTGATTTGCAGGATTGCTCATTATCGCCTTAAACAACATAGAGACGCAAAGGAAGCCTTCGAGAATGCTCTGAAATTAGAGGGTAAGCATAATCATTAAAAGCATTTTGCTTGAGTAGAATCATATATATCTTGTATACACTAGATAGTGCATCTAATTATTCTGCAATTCAAAAATTGAAGCCGTGTTTGCAGACTCAGGGTATTCCCATGAAATGAGAAGACTCGTATGTTTTCTATTTCTTAAACAGGGAACTTAAACATTAAGTTAAACCTATTCCAAATACATTTTCAAACTATTCAAATGATGAAAGTTATTGTTGTTTTTAAGCGTTTATTAGCGAGTGGTAAACTCCAAGATGGCCGCCATTTATTGAAATGGGGGTAACCGCTGGAATATTCTTGGCTTCAATTTATCTAAAAGAGATGCGCTATAAGATATCTATGAGTACAATACACAAGGAAAGCACTCTTGAATGACGAAAAGATATTATTGAGAGAAAAAATGTAAATATTTGTGAATACTTCGATGTGTCGGGCTTTTCCTCCTTTGGTGACGTCTGCAGTTCCACATAGCTTTCAGTTTCAGTTTTTGGCATAACTATAAGAAAAGGATATTGATAATTTAAGTACAAATTTTGTAGATTCAGATGAAACAAAATCGTGGATTTCAAATTGTGATGTAGAACTTCAAACTGCAGGTTTGTCGTTATACCGACTATATATTTTCTCGTTATATTTATATATCTTGGCTATAAGACCCTGACTGTAAATCTTAAACCCAATTTATTCGCCAAAATTTTAGAATTCTACTCTAGGCTTGTTTCCCTTGTTAGTATATGCTTGACACACTTCGTTCAACTGTCAGTTAACTCGGTATGTTCTCGTCTGATCGAGCCATGATAGTTGAGGAAACTCTTCTTCAAGGTCTTAATTGCTACTCTATAGTATACCAAAATTATATTTTAGGAAACGGTGAAAAAATTCCAGACCGTGTCGAGTCGAAGCTAATGAGTGAACCACCGTTACCTAAAGCGCAGCCAAAACCAAGGTAGGTTATTTACTATGTGACAACAACAAAAACAACAAAAATGAACAACTACAGCAACAAAGACGATGAAAACAACAACAACATTATCTCATGGCAGGTACGACTGGTATCAAACAGATTCACGTGTTGTCGTCACAATCTTAGTGAAGAACAGAACTTCAGATGATGTTAAGTGTGATATCCAGGATACATATGTAAGTTTATATTTAGTAGTTGTCGAATGATTTCTTTTTTACCTTGATGGGTCGACACCAATACTAACTTATACTATATGAACGTTGATGGGTCGACACCAGTACTGACTTATACTATATGAACGTTGATGGGTCGACACCAATACTAACTTATACTTTTTGATGTATTGTATGTATGTAGTGTGAATTACATAGTGTGAATCATGATGAGTAAGGTTTCTCGTAAGCACTTAGATATCTTTAAACAGAAAATTTTCTTTATAATTTCTTATCTCTCGTATTTTGAATGTCGCTCGTATTTTTGTATGTACATACTTTGGTCTCTTGCTGACATTCACGTCCACTTTAAACTTACACACTTGTGTTGTTTCGAAATGCACTCATGCAGTCCTGGCTTCCGATGTATTTTGTGGTTTGCCACATCATGCGGTGTGCCTTTATGGTTGTACCACCAGGAAGGAATTCGTCCAAATGGCGACGCCGAAGCTTCTGTAAGTTGTGCTACTTGGGTTTGTATCTCTCTTAAGAACTCTCTTGCTGGGTAAGCACGCGACAAACACGTTGTACGCATACGCCTGGCAATGCCATGGGATCTCTGCTGCTCGGGGAATGACGAGATAGAATCTAAAAACATGACTGCATTGAAAATGGTCGTTCTTGAGTAGTCCGCCATCCTGAAACAATCACCAAGTTTGAACGAAAAATGTTGAAAACTTGCAGAGTTATTTAATAAAATACATTTCGCTGCAATAAGAAAAACATTGAAAATGTAATATTCAAATTCAATTTTCTCCCGAAGAATTTTACGATAATTACTGATTTTCAAACGAGTTGTGCTCCTGCGGGTTTTGACCAATTTTTCTCAAATTTTCACAGGACATAGCTAAAGACGTCAGTTTCAAAATTGTGTTCGGCTTTTTTTTAAATTTTGGATATTTTAATAATAAAGAGCAATTCACTCAAACAATTCAGAAATATTTTGCAGTCGTCAAAGAAATCGCCATATCAGCGGAATGACGAAATAAACAAAAAATTCCGAACACAATTTTTTAGAACAACTATTTTACTGTATAAAAATGATATTTTCATAAATATAACTTAAAACCAGCAGGAGCACAACTCAAAAGCGTAACGGTACCGCGATTTAAGATTTTCCTGAATAATTCTTATATTATTTTATTGTTTGTTAATTTTACAACTTTACCATATTTTGCATATACACTGGCGAACATTTGGTGAAAATTTGATTCAAATCGGACTGGTATTGAGCGCGCAGTAGCGATTTTCCGCAAAACGCCAAAAAGGGTGTCCTGTAACCTTAAAGAGTAGCATTACGTCATTGCATTATAAAGTCGTCGCTGATTGGCTGTAAACAGCCTCGTCTTTGATTGGTTGCAAGCTAACACACAAACTTCCCATTTATCATATAATATATCATTGTATCTACACAGATACAAAATTACTTAATAGACCTATTAACCGTGCTTAGATAGATAGATCAACTTTATTTAGGCACAAATCTCATTCAACATTATGCTGATTTCCATGAGAGGTGTGCTGGCTAACTGTTACAATTTTAAGACTAATTTACTAATACATACAAACTATTATTATATAAATGCTATTAAATATTCACTTAACTAAACTACTTATAATAACTTAATAATTGGGAGGGCGAGGAGAAAAGGTTTTTACAAAACGAGCTGTAAGATATCGAATTTCGAATATTTTCTGGTATTCTATTCCATAATTTAGCCCCACTGTAACTGAAACTTTTTTAAATAAAATCTTTCCTGGGCCTTGGAATAAAAAGCCCAGTTGAAGAACCTCTTAGATTATAACTATTAACAGTGTTGGAAAGTTGGAAAATGTTACACGGTCTTTGTGGAGCTAATTGATTTACTGTTTTGTACATGAGTTTGGCCTTCATTAATGCTCTACGTTCTTCAAGAGATGTCCAACCGAGAGCAGTACGAGCTAAGATAGACTGTCCAAGGCATGCTCTTTTTTAAAATGCATGATTAATCTAGCTGCTCGATTTTGCAATTTTTGAAGACGTTCGCCGAGGCCTTTGCCAAGCTCATCCCAAACCTCACAACAGTAATCAAAATGCGGCTGGATCAATACATTGCACACCAGCACTGATGTATCTCGGTCTACAAATTCTTTAAGTTTTTTTAACGCACCAATCCCCGAAGATACTTTACTAGCGATATATTCAATATGTTTTTCCCAGTTTAGGTTCTCATCTATTTCAACTCCTAGCACTTTTGCGCATTTTACTCTTGATTGGACATGTGTCGATCTTAATTGTGGGTTGGACATCCATGCTATTAATCTTAGGGCGTGATCCAATCAAGCGTAGATACTCTAATATTAACTGTAATCTCTAATGGTTTTTTCCAGGTATCAATATATGTGAGACTAGAAGATGGAAGTGACTTTTCCCTGTCGTTAAACTTAGCCAACACAATCGTCGCTGCTCAATCAAAGTACAAAGTTTCATCTCCAAAGGTAAATTAACAGACAATGTGCTATTAAAAACCAAAGGGAAACTCTAGGAAACAAGACACTCTATGGAGCTAGGTCTCTGGGGCTATGGAAATAGGCAACTTCAGATTATATGTTTTAGATATGCTTAGGTATGATATACTACAATCTTGAATCACATAGCCTTAATAGGGTCAAGGTAAATGGTTCATAACTATCAAGCATCCATCACTTGTAGACTACGTTCACATTACGATAGGGAGAAATAATTACGCCACATTTTACGTCTGTTTACACTAAGCCGTTTAAGTTTCGATACGCTCTCCTCCGCAGAGGCTTTGTAGTTTGTTTTCTTTTTATGAGCTGGGGAGCGAGCGCGCGGGGTTAAAAGGGGGCATCGTGGATATTTGGAGATAATAGGGAATCACACTACCTAGCCCGCTACTGCCCGCAAGTCAAACTTATAGAAAGAAAGAAAACAAACTCATAGAAATAAAACAAACTACAAAGCCTCTGCGGAGGAGAGTGGTTTCAATACGATTTCGCTACTGTTCACACTAGTTACCTGTCGTCAACGCCCAAACAATTACATAAACTAGGAGTTACTATCGCAAGGAAAATGCTGCCGATATGTACATGTAGAATGTGCTACAAAAAGAGCGTTTTTCACTGTATGTATGATTTATTGTCTTACACATCGTCGTTCCTCAGTTACCTTCGTACAAATTGGGCTATTCCATTTAATATCCGTACCCCCCCTGTCGAGGATCCCTAGAATTCTTCAGGGGTAAAGGGTTTTGAGCTTGGAATTCTTCAGGGGTAAA